TGAATTGGTGGGTTTTTGTTAAATGTGAGCCAAAATCATCACAATTAAAAGAACCAAAGACTTAAACTACTTCAGTCTGTGTGCATTGAATTTATTTAATACACGAGTTTCACAATTTGAGTTGAATTACTGAAATAAATGAACTTTTCCACGACATTCTAATTTATTGAGATGCACCTGTAAATCAATAAATCCACTGCTCTGTTGTCTCCTCTGAGGCGGAGACTCTAAATAGTGTTCTGTGCTCATCTGTGCAGCCAAAGAACAAACAGTTAGCATGTTTTGCTCAAACTTTCACCATGGCATTAGAGCTGGTACACGTTGTTGCTTGCGAAATCATAATGACAGCGCCGTGAGTGGAAGTTTACAGATTAAGGGTCGGTAATATTATAATGAGATCCCTTTGTCAAGTCACCAAGGAGAGAAATCAGATGTGCTCGTTTTCTCAGAGGCTTGCAGAAAAAGGCTTACCAAAACAAAGTTACTGGGTTAATCTTTTTCACGTTTCCTTGGTTGGTAGATGCACCGGGGACCTGATTATAGCACTTAAAACCTGGAAAAGTCCGATTTTCATGATGTCACCTTTAAACCTGCTCGGAAGCAGGCTTATTTCATGTAAACAGGATTAGATTGCATCTTTTTAAGTGGAACTGAATTTAAAATCTATCCCAGCCACTGCTACTCTATTACAAGGGTACCCTACTAATTCGGGGACAATCATTAAAAATAATAATAATTAAATAATTAATTTAAATTACAATTAAATTAAATAAAAACAAATAATAATATTAATGTTGTGTAATCTATAATACTATAGACACAGACAGTTTTACTCATTGAAAGATTTATTCGTAATAAAATAATAACTTTATAATTAGTCGTGCATTAATTTGAGTGATGACAGCTATTATGGGAGTGGCTTGATGGAGCGCAGGAGATGCAGATAACTTGATCTTGACCCTTAAGAAACTTTAATTAATGCTGTCGCATAACAAATCTGCTGCGAAGATAAAATTACATGAATTACTAATTACAACACTGAACTAAAAATGTAAAGCCTGTACAAATACTAGTAATCGTGAATATAAATAATTGGGAATCATGTAAAAAATTTAAAATAAAAACAGTGCACATTTCATTTATCTATTATAACATTTATGTAGTTTTGTTCACTTGGCTGTTTCCTTATAAAGGTCCAGAAATTTGTCAAGTTTTTCGTCAGGTGTCTTTTTTAAATTATATGATGTCATTACATTGCTGTCTTGCTGCCAGCCAATCGCTGCATTGCTGATCGTGGTCTCGAGTATCCATACATCTGCCCTTTACGGGGAACACGAGAACGTGCAGTAATCTTAGACAACTTAATCCAGATATTTTAATCAAATCCACAAATTCGTTGGAAGAACCAAATTAGCCAGAGATCAATTATCACGATTAGAAGATCTGGCATCTTTCAAATCATCTCAGATGTATTAAGCGAGGTACGAAGAAGAGGCCTCAGGCAACAAGAGTATTTAATCCAAATTTAGGGAAGCAATAAACACAGCACACTTAGCATAAACAGAGACCGGACGAATTAACTCAGAAAACATAGAACTATAAATACTAAACCAAACGAGGACTAATGGGCTAATTAATAGACAGCAGGTGAACGAGTAAGACAGACAATGGAAAACTAGGTCAAAGCAAGACAGGAGAACAGAAACAAGGAAAAACACAAACTAGAAGTCCATAACCATAACAAGTACAGTGTAGAATTGTCTTTTAGTACATTGTTAAAATCTAGTTTTTTTTTCATACCTTGTATGAAGATATCAAAGTTATGTATCCTGATCTTTATGTGTTGACAAGTTTTAGTGAAAAACAAAAATGTGAAATAAATTAATATTTCTTTTCAACAAGAACACATAACATTTATTTAAAGGTGACATCATGAAAATCTGACTTTTCCAGGTTTTAAGTGCTATAATCAGGTCCCCGGTGCATCTACCAACCAAGGAAACGTGAAAAAGATTAACCCAGTAACTTTCTTTTGGTAAGCCTTTTTCTGCAAGTGTCTGATTTCGCTCCCCTAGTGACGTGGCAAAGGGATCTCATTATAATATTACCGACCCTTAATCTGTAAACTTCCACTCACGGCGCTGTCATTATGATTTCGCAAGCAACAACGTGTACCAGCTCTAATGCCATGGTGAAAGTTTGAGCAAAACATGCTAACTGTTCTGTCTTTGGCTGCACAGATGAGCACAGAACAGTATTTACAGTCCCAGCCTCAGAGGAGACAAGAGAGCAGTGGATTTATTGATTTATTTACTGTATATTGCTGCTGCCACACAGACCTAAAATAAACATGCGGTTTATTTCCCAGCTGTTTACCTTCACAAACATAACCGACTGTTTTTGTAACTCATGTGTGTTTTTAACATAAACTTGTGTGTGAATGAGAACTTAGTTTAGTACTCACATGCTGTGACAGCCGCTTATGATAATCAGAACCAAAACAGATGTTTTTTAGCAGGTATGAGCTGTAATGGCGCAGCTCTATTCTGGAAAAGAGGGCGGGGAGCAGCAGCTCATTCGCATTTAAGAGCATGCTCTAATACAGTGTTTCTGCTCCCACTTAAAATAGGCATTTTCAAAATGATATAACAAAAGATCTTTGGGGTATTTTGAGCTGAAACTTCACAGACACATTCTGGGGACACCTGAGACGTATATTACATATTGTAAAAAGGGGCATAATATGTCTCCTTTAAAGTGGCAATAAAGACAGTTATGTTTAAAACGTATTTCAAATAAATGCTGTTCTTTTGAACTTTCTATTGATCGAAGAACTCTGTAAAAATGTATCATGATTTCTACAAAAACATTAAGCAACTTGGTCGTTTTTAATAATATTTATTGATAATAGTAATTGATAATAGTAAGAAATGTTTCTTGAGCAGCAAATCAACATGATTTCTGAAGGATCATGTGACACTAAAGGCTGGAGTAATGGCCACTAAAAAAGAAAATAGTCCCATCACAGAATTTTTTTTATATATATAACATTTTAAAATACATTGTAACAGTTGTTGTTTTTACTGTATTTTTTAATCAAATAAATGCAGCCTTCGTTCAAAAAACAAAAAAAACATTAAAATAATCTGCATTAAAATAATTAGTAAGGACCAATTCTTACTATTAACTATATTAATACCTACGACTTTTGTCTCAATACAAAAACATTTATTTAAATGGAAATAAGAAAAACATTTATTTGCCAATAGGTTAAGATTATTTTGATTCTCAAATAAATGTATCAGTAACACGTTAGAATAGGGAACATATATTCACTATAAACTAAAAGTTTTCCCTATACAAGCTCTTAATTTGCTGCTTATTAATAAAGAAATAAATAATAAAGAAAAAGAAAATGTGCTTTATAAGTATTAATAAACAGCCAATATATCAGTAAGATGCATGCTAATAAGTAACTAGTTAATTGTGTGAATTTTTCCCTAAACTTAAAGCTGGAGACCGTAACTTTTTTTGGTTAAAAATAATCCAAAATCAATATTTGAGCAAGCACATAACCAACCAGTGTTCAAAACTATCGCCTTACTTTAGCCCGATTCACAGCGGTTGGTTTGTAATAATGTTTTCTAATTTGATTGGTACGGGTAGGTGTTCACGGGAAATTCAAGCATGCTGCTGCGTCATTACGTCACGTCTGTAAACATAAAGAAGTTGTCCCGGTGTTGTGCCAAATTCTGCACCCTGCCAGATTATGCACCCCCTCGTTGAAGTCGCTACCTGATTGCCTAATCCCAACCCCACCCCTAATCCTAACCCCTCCCCCACACCTACTCCTAAACCTATCAATACTAGGGGATGCATTTTTATAGCCTTTTCTCACAGCAGCTAGAATAATTAAATGTATCATTTTGATCGTGGATTGTAATCCAGAAAGGATTGTGTTTATGAAACGCGTGTGAATGAAATTAAATTATATTCCAGTTTTAAATGTGCTTCTGATTACATATAGCCTGGGATTACACAAGATTTGTATTTTTATGACAACCAGTTCGAAGGGAGCATAATTTGCTTTTTGGGTTAAAAGAATTTCTTAATATGAAATTCGAATGGTATGACAGTTAGAGATTAGACTGTACAGAAATTTAAATCTACACACTAATACACACAGGCAATGCTGATGTTGTTAACATTAATAATTTGAGAATAAAGTATAACAATAATAATCATTTGCATGGTTTGATGTGATATGAGCTAACCGATCTTTAGATTAAATCACCATTGGTAGCGGGATTTATTGTAATGCTTTTTTCCTCAGTTGGTCAGAACAAACGTGGCAGACTTGTTACTTGTTCAGATGACAATATACAGTGAAAATTCTTATTTGGGTCATATATTCAAAGACATAAGCTAGAATCTGTGATTCTGAAGTACAGTGAATATCCACACCAGTGCGGTGACTGACTGCCACTGCCACACACACATACTCCTCAAAACATCAGATTCATCAGTGCTGGAACCATGCCGACTCACAACCCAGGCAAGGAAGATAATTCCGCAAACTACTGCAATTGCAGGTTTTCAAACAGAGATGGTGACAAAGAGGCAAAACTTACGGACTGCAGCTTTAAGTGTTACCAAAAATCTTACCGACCTCCAATTTTTGAACAGTAGTGTGTGTAGAAAAAAAATCAGTTCAAAAAGTGAAAAATGTTCTTGTCTTGTTAATACATTATGGTATGAAGCTACAGAGATACTATACTATGGCTTTAGAGAAGCCAAACTTCCACAGTGCAGCTTTAATTAGATATCCATAAGCAAAACTGTGAAGTAATCTGTATTTACTGCAGTTTATGGCTAGGATTGATACACTGTGACACTAATAATGTTTAACCTCTGCCCCTCTCTCTGCAGGTTAAAGGGTACTGCTTTCCAGGTGAGCATCCATGTGGCACAGACGAGGGCTGTTACTCTGAGCTGCAGCGCTGTGATGGCTACTGGCACTGCCCTGGGGGGCGAGATGAGGAGGACTGCCCGCTGTGTCAGCCGGGAGAGTATCCCTGCGAGGGTGGCAGTGGGGCGTGTTACTCAGCCTCCGAGAGGTGTAACAACCAGAAGAAGTGCCCCAACGGCTCAGATGAGAAAAACTGCTTTGACTGCCAGCCTGGAAACTTCCACTGTGGAACCAACCTGTGCATCTTTGAGACGTGGCGTTGCGATGGGCAGGAAGACTGTCTCGACGGCAGTGATGAAAGAGACTGTCTTGCATCCGTGCCCAGGAAGGTGATCACAGCGGCTCTGATTGGCAGCTTGGTCTGTGGGCTGCTTCTGGTCATTGCACTGGGTTGTGCCTTTAAACTCTACTCGCTCAGGACAAGAGAGTACAGGTGAGGTGATTTCCATCTCCTTTATGGCTGCATTTAAACTCGAAGCAAAATGTGTCAAGAAATGTATAGGGATTCATGAAATCTTTTTGTTTTTAGCCCAAGGTATATGGTTTTTCATGACATTCTGCTAAATGTATTTGTACTGTTATCCAAATCATTTTACCTCCATAGTAAAACCATTGCTGAAAATCTAGAAAAGCACAAGTTTATTACGAAAGAAAACATGAAGAGAAAGAGGATTTACTCTCTCTTGTTTCACTTTAAACATAATTGGATCGTAACGGGTAACGGCCCATATGCTGCTCTGGGAGGTGAAGCACTGTTTTTCTCCAGTTAACCTTGTAAAGACACAGCAGCACCCAAAATACCTGCACTTCATCAAACTGTCAAAGTACCGCTGGTTAAGTAACAGCTCTTGGAGATTCTTAAGAGATATCCTGCCTGAATGTGTTCAGTGTTCAGTAGCTTCCCTTTTTAAAAAGCTGTTGTTTTTTCTTATATTTTTAAACGGCATCAATCAGCATCTTTATAAAACAGCTCTTTTTGTGTTCCCCTTTCTCGTAGAGCTTTTGAAACCCAGATGACTCGACTAGACGTGGAGTTTGTTCAGAGGGAGGCTCCACCCTCTTATGGTCAACTGATAGCTCAAGGTCTCATACCTCCAGTTGATGACTTCCCAGTGTACAACCCAACCCAGGTATGTGAATATGAAATTGAATTTATATTGAGGTAGCAAATACAATTGCAATTCAAATGTGAAATTAAGGAAGGGAAATTAAAGGGATACTCCACCCCAAAATGAAAATTGTCATTAATCACTTACCCCCATGTCGTTCCAAACCCGTAAATGCGTTGTTCGTCTTCGGAACACAATTTAAGATATTTTGGATGAAAACCGAGAGGCTTGTGACGGTCCGATTGATATGTGCTGAACGCAAGCAGCGTACGCTCTTCTGTGTCAGCCGCGCCACAGAGATGTGCTGTTTTCGTTCAAATCAAAGCGTAAATACACGTAGAAAATGTATCCTTGTGTCGCGGCTGACACAGAGTATAGGGATTCATGAAATCTTTTTGTTTTTAGCCCAAGGTATATGGTTTTTCATGACATTCTGCTAAATGTATTTGTACTGTTATCCAAATCATTTTACCTCCATAGTAAAACCATTGCTGAAAATCTAGAAAAGCACAAGTTTATTACGAAAGAAAACATGAAGAGAAAGAGGATTTACTCTCTCTTGTTTCACTTTAAACATAATTGGATCGTAACGGGTAACGGCCCATATGCTGCTCTGGGAGGTGAAGCACTGTTTTTCTCCAGTTAACCTTGTAAAGACACAGCAGCACCCAAAATACCTGCACTTCATCAAACTGTCAAAGTACCGCTGGTTAAGTAACAGCTCTTGGAGATTCTTAAGAGATATCCTGCCTGAATGTGTTCAGTGTTCAGTAGCTTCCCTTTTTAAAAAGCTGTTGTTTTTTCTTATATTTTTAAACGGCATCAATCAGCATCTTTATAAAACAGCTCTTTTTGTGTTCCCCTTTCTCGTAGAGCTTTTGAAACCCAGATGACTCGACTAGACGTGGAGTTTGTTCAGAGGGAGGCTCCACCCTCTTATGGTCAACTGATAGCTCAAGGTCTCATACCTCCAGTTGATGACTTCCCAGTGTACAACCCAACCCAGGTATGTGAATATGAAATTGAATTTATATTGAGGTAGCAAATACAATTGCAATTCAAATGTGAAATTAAGGAAGGGAAATTAAAGGGATACTCCACCCCAAAATGAAAATTGTCATTAATCACTTACCCCCATGTCGTTCCAAACCCGTAAATGCGTTGTTCGTCTTCGGAACACAATTTAAGATATTTTGGATGAAAACCGAGAGGCTTGTGACGGTCCGATTGATATGTGCTGAACGCAAGCAGCGTACGCTCTTCTGTGTCAGCCGCGCCACAGAGATGTGCTGTTTTCGTTCAAATCAAAGCGTAAATACACGTAGAAAATGTATCCTTGTGTCGCGGCTGACACAGAAGAGCGTACGCTGCTTGCGTTCAACGGATATTCTCCAAAATGCCGCTACGGTGATGCGGAGAGACACAGAGGAGACGAATTGTTGAATAAAGTCGCTTCATAAAATTCAGATTGCACCACTGATGGCAGATGGACTATTGTGACTATGTCTTTCATACTTTTCTGGACCTTGACAGTGTAATTTACTTGGCAGTCAATGTGACAGTCACAAGCCTCCCGGTTTTCATCCAAAATATCTTCAATTGTCTTCTGAAGACGAACGTCATTTTCATTTTGGGGTGGAATAGCCCTTTAAACTGCGGTCACATTAGCGAAAATTCAGCAAAATTTTTAGATGTTTTCCATTGTTAATAGTGTAACTGACTAAGGCATGTAGCACTGCTCACACAGAAGTCACTTTAAAAAAACAACAACATCTTTCTATTGGTCAATGCAGTGAATTTATGTGAACAACTTGAAAACAAGCAAAATCTGTATGGGCAACTTTTTCGCCCTGACGAGAAAATTCCCAATTCCTATTGAAATGACAGGATTTTGTATGTGACTGGATTTTTTTCATAAAGTCTGTTTTTTTTTATTTCTCCCAGGCATCTGTTCTGCAGAATCTCCGCTCAGCTATGCGGAGGCAGATTCGTCGTCACTCTTCTCGTCGTTCCTCGTCACGGCGGCGATTAGGTCGTCTGTGGAATCGCCTGTTCCATCGTGGCTCTCGGTTACGGGGTCAGATACCTCTCCTCACGCCTCCAGGCCACACGCACACAAATACACACCCCGATCTGAGCCTCCACAGCTACAACACAACGGACGATGGCATCGAGGAGTCAAGTGAGAGTGCGGGACACACTCCACCATCCTGTTCGACGGTGGCGCTGGGACTGGCCCTGCAGGCTCACACTGAGGCCCTCTGCCTTCCTGACAGAGAGTCTCCATCCTCTCCTCTCTCCCTGCCCTCCCCCAACTCACCCCGCTCCACCTCTGACACCCTGGAGGACGAAGATGATGAAGATGACAGAAGTTTAGAGGGGATCAGAATGAGATCCAAACAGGGCATTTCCCCGAAACATAAAGATGACAGTCCTCCTGGACCCCCCGATAGCCCCAAACGCAGCACAAGCCTGTCGAGATCCTCCAGACGGCTGGTGCAGGAACTGGCTGCAGAGCTCAGAGGAGTCTCATTCTTAAGGTACACCTCTATGGGCATCTCGCCACTTTCCTCCCCTGAGCCACCGACGTCCTCCAGCGGTCAGTCTGAAGAGCAGAGAAGCTTTCCTGCATTCAGAAAACCACATATGGACGCACACACAGATGCTCCTGGACACGCCAGGAAACCTTCAGTAACAGAAGAGGTTCCCGGTGACAGTGTCAGGCTTTGCAGACTCGCAACTAGTGAGGAAGAGGATGAGGAGATTTTGTTAGTGCACTGAATAGCCTTTATCACCATCCCTGTTCTGATTTTGTGCCAACACAGTGAGCCTTAAAAGGTTCAACCAACGGCCTTCCATTCAGAGTCATAAAGTACAGTACGTTTCCATGCCCAGTTATAATCAAATTTTTTGCGTTGTCAAGCTACAATCTTTATCTAAGAATGCATAATGAAATGTGTACAGATATTTGAAGGATTAAATACCCAAGGCCAATTGCAGTCTGATTAAAGAGATAGTTCACCCAAAAATTTTATTGTCATTAATTACTCACCCTCATGTCGTTCCAAACCTGTAAGACATTCGTCATCTTCAGAACACAAATTAAGATATTTTTGATGAAATCCGAGAGCTTTCTTACCCTGCATAGACAGCAACGCAACTACCACATTCAAGGCCCAGAAAGGTAGTAAGGACATCGTTAAAGTAGTCCATGTGACATCAGTGGTTCAACGTAATGTTATAAAGCAACGAGAACACTTTTTGTGCACAAAGAAAACAAAAATAACTTTATTCAACTATTTCTTCTCTTCTGTTTCAGAAATTGATGTGCGTTCACGACAGTACCACAATGGTGGGTGGGTGAACTATCCCTTTAACATGTATTCATGCTGGATGAAATCAAGCTACAATTACATCCGAGTCTGTTAGTGCGACTTTGCAGAAACCAGACTGGTTCTATTTCAGTCAGTATTTATATGCATTTTAAAAAGACAAATTATTGCTTAAGTCAGACTGAAATCGATTTTTGTGTATGTAAACATATGCTACCGTTCAAAAGATTGGGTTCAGTAAGATTTTTTTTTTAAAGAAATTAATGTAAATCAAAAGTGACAGTAATGGATTCTACATTGTTACAAAATGTCCACTTCAAATAAATGCTGTTCTTCTGAACTTTCTTTTTACCAAAGTATCAAAAGCAAAAGTTGCCCGTTTCCACAAAAGCATTAAGCAGCACAACTGTTTTCAGCATTGATAATAAGAAATAAGCACCCAATCAGCATATTAAAATGATTTCTGAAGGATCATGTGACACTGAAGACTGGAGTAATGCCTGCTGAACATTCAGCTTTGCATCACAGGGAATTAAAATTCAACAGTTATGTTAAACTAAAAAAAAACAGCAATATTATGAAATATTATTAATGTATTTTCATAAAAGAAAAAGGCAGCCTTGGTAAGCATAAGAACCTTACCGACTCCTAAACCTTTGAACGGTAGTGTACTTCCAAAGTTTAGAGTCTTGTACTTGCAGAATGTTTGGCATTTATTCCGTCATAGTACAAGATGGAGGATTCAACCTCAGCTCAGACACTGCAGTGTCATGCTTAATTAGATCATCTCACATTGCTAGAAATCACCAAAAACCTTATGAATGTGACCATAGCACTATAAAAGTATTTGATTACCAAGGACTGAGCATAAATACTTTCCCACATGGAATATCATTATAACACAGAACTTAATTTGCCTGCATCTCTGTTTTTAATCCGTAACATTCTGTCATGACCTTCAGAAGCTCTGAAAAGACTTCAGAGATCTCCTCTCACCTCCCCAACGCCTTATAAGAGATTCACCGTGTCACCCGCAGAAGGAAATGTTCCTGTGCTCATTTCATTTCTATCAGAACCAGCCAGTTGTCTCAGAATTATGCTTTATACATTCAGAACTGAATGTTTGAATGTTGGTTGTGCTCTACATTAATGGATTTTGACCTCTTATATTATACATTTACTACCGTTCAAAAGGTTGAGGTCAGTAAGATATTTCATTGAAGTCTTTTATGCTCACCAAGGCTGAATTTATTTTGTTCAAAAATGCAGTGAAAACAGTAATATTGTGAAATATTATTAGAATTTAAAACGGCTGTTTTCTACTTCTAACATATTTTCAAAAGTAATTTACTTCTGTGATGTCAAAGCTGATTTTTTCAGTGTCACATGATCCTTCAGAAATCATATATTTGCTGCTCAATAATCGTTTCATATTATCAGTTGTGCTGCTTAATATTTTCTGTGATTTAATGCATTCTTGCTAAATAAAATAATTTATTTCTTTTAAAAAAATGTACCGACCCCAAACCTTTGAATGGTAGCGTACAGTTTTATACCCTCAGACTACTGGAGCTGTTTGCTGATTTAGTGATGATCTATGAGCTTTTTGTATTTAAGGTTTGTTTTGTTAGTCTGGCTACCAGACTAATATCACGGCAGGTCCACCACTGACATTAATTAATGTTAAGAAGCTTTTTCCCCATGCAAAAGACAGCAAGTCTTTCTTGAAGGGAAGCAGAATTCAGGGATTGTATAATGGTTCATGAAAGAGAAGCAGTTAACCTGGATTTCCTTGTTAACAGCTGTAGTCTAGGTGTACTGAGAAGTACTGCTGCCTCAGTTAAGTTCTGAAGCTATCAGGACATCACAGAGTCGTGGGGAAATTACTCCGTAATCACATTTGTGCTTGAGCTCACACACGTTTTTGTCTTTGTTTTTCATATCAGCTGTTATAATTTCACTCATGCATTTGGTGCTTGAGAGACTTATTTGTATGTTCTGTTAATAAATGTAGTACATCCTCAGTGCAAGTCACACTTGCTGCTTTAGCACACTTGGTCCTGGTCCAAGCTTGGAAATAAGAACCTATCAAAACTAAAAAGCTGGTCCCATCTCATGAAGGGCCAGTCTGTTCCTTCCTTTCATTCTGTCTGCTGGCTAACTGCCTGTTATTTCACACATTTCCATTCTCCATGTTCTGACTGGAGGATCTCTTGTCTGATCCCATAGGTTTAAGAATGTGCCATTTCAGAGATTGACAGATTTTATAGAATCGCAGATGTTTTAATACACTGTGAAGCCTTTAGATTCAGTGCCATTAGAGAGGTCATGCATTTTCTGTTTTGTCATTTGTTGGGTTCAGTTGAAATGGCTGAAGATTAAAGCACTAAGAGACTTTACTTGGGGCATCCATCATTACTTATTTGACATTTTTTAATAGTGTCCTTTATGTTCTGTGAAATTCAAGTAAAATCCAATAGAAGAGATCAATCAACACATGCCAAATAAAGTCTTTTAGGGTTATCCGGCCAGCAGCTTGAAATCCAGTGGTTCTTAACCTTTTTGACTCGAAGGCCACCCATTGTCCAACACAATATTTAACCACAATAATTCACCATGATTAATTTTGTGTTTACAAAAGTTTTGATGAACTGTATGTTCTTGAATAAAACAATAGTTATTGAGGAAGGAAAATTAATATTGAGATTTTAGGTTTTTTTTGCATTTTAATTAAGTTACTTTAACATAATTCATTTAAATAATTGTAAATCATCCCGTGCCCCTCTTGGAAGTTTACTGAGGCCCCCTGGTTGAGAACCACTGTCCTAGACTGACTTCTCATTTTCACTCTCTTTAATTTTCATTGCAGTCTATGGATGCCTTGAACATATTTTGTAAATATGTTTAATATGTATTTTTTTCACCTTACAATCTGGTTGTGTATGGCTAGTAATGGTCAAGGTTGCTACATGTTTGAAAAGGTTTTGAAGCATTTCATTAAACGCACATTTCTTCATTATATTCAGACTAACTTTTTGTTATCTGGATGAAGTGTAGTCATTCATAAGCCTAATCTTCCCTAATGTATGCAATATATTGATCAGTGGCCGTACAACAGATACTTCCTGTTAAATGTATTAAGATTACTAAACAGATAGGATACTTATACTGTTAGTATATTTAGTTCTCCAATGGTCATTTCTGTCTGGGAATGTCTCATTTCATAATTTCTTACCTGCAATATAATGGCTACTTTTCTGAAATGAGGCAGACTCAATGACATATGTGGCTGACAAATGCAGCCTTATGTCTTTACTCAAACACAACACACAATTACTTGTGACCTTTTCCAGAATTACATTTAATGTGCTAATATTGTTATTGATAAACACCTTTTAACATTTTTTTTTTTTACAAAACAAGTATATCAGCATTAGGGGTGTAACGGTTCACAAAATTCACGGTTCGGTTCGATACGACAGTGGTGTCACGGTTCGGTACGGGGGTAATTGGTTACGTCGCAATGTTGGAAATATTTCTGTTTTAAACCATGAAGGCCAGCCAATTTATATCACACAAGCAACGTGCAAACTTTGTGCAAGAGTTATGCAGGTGAACGTCTTAATCTCAGTCAATTCGCTATACAGTATGTGAAAGTAAAAACGGAATGATGGAGCTTTCGGCATCTGACGCCGCATATTCTCTCAGACACGACGAGAGACCAATTGGTTAATTACAAGATTAATCTACTTCAACATGTAGGCCTAGTGATAACGGTATATAGCTAGCCTAACTGTTTTTATTCCCTTAACATTCCTCTTGTGGCCCGTACATAGTGAAAAAAAGACAAGAAACGTATTTCGTGTTAAACATGTTGTTTTTGATAGTAGGTGCTTGAAATAGGCTAAAGCTTTTTATTCATGGATTTTATTGATGACTGCTGAGTTAATATTTTAATTATAGGCCTATAAATTTTAATTATAGAAATTCATTCATATCGTCAGTTATGCGGTAATATTGCAGAGCCAATTAATTGTTATTTTAATTTAATAATAAAAGTAACTTAATAATAGGCTTAATAAAAATAAGAATGTAATTGGCCTACATTAATTGGAAATGCCAAATCCTCTTAATATTGCCAATAATTGATGTTTTTGACAATATTTCTGGCTGTTGTCGTAAGTTCATCGTCTTTCAACGCAACCCAGCACGGGGAGTTATCGCGGGGCCGTACCGCTACGCCACTGGGCATCACGTTGCCTGTTACGTCTTGGGCTTCATTGTTGAGCGCAGTGGCACTGAGAGCATTATATTTCACACACGTTAAGCTCTTTTATTTTCCATATGTAATAGGATTAGTCCAACGAATCGTTCGGTTTGTAATGCTTACTGAACCGAAAGCCTCGCAGCCTACCGAACGGTTCAATACGAATACGTGTATCGTTACACCCCGAATATCTATAGTGCATACAATATGAACATATGTATAATTAATGCATACGCCTCACACTTCACTAATGTCAGGAATGCGATCTCACAATGAATCCCTGATGTATTTGAAACTTTAAGCAATATTTAAGCAAAATTTCACTGTGCTGTGAATTTCAACGTACCGTGCCGCTGTGGGCCGTGTGAGCATGAACACTGCTGGTCTGAGAGACACTGAGCTGGACCCATGGAAAGAGAAGAGCACTGGGGTGTTCATAAAGGTTGTGATTGGGCGTCAAGAAAGATCTAACCAGAAGAGGGCGATCAAGTGCAAAATCGCTAATCACAACTCCTTCAGATCCAAACTCTCAAAATATGTTTGAAGGACTTTGGTGGTTTGGTGGTCAGTTTAAAACGAAGAAATGGATATTATCGCTGTTGCATAGCTCAGTGGAATGTCCATGGTCAGTGCCCAAAATAAATGCATCCCAGTCAGAATAGACAAATGCCTTGGTTATCTAAAGGCATTCATCTCCTTTTTGAACAACAGTTAAAAGTGTCTGGCTAAGATGATTTTTAAAAAATGTAAATAACCTTTTATGTAAATAACGTTATCCGAGAACAATGAACTTGGAACATCCCATGGTTCCTATCATTAGCATAAGGCTAAGAGATTGGCAGTGATATAAGTGCTGGGGCAGAGCCTCTGTTAAACAGGGGCAGGAGATCGTTGCTTATCCAGGAAGCAAGGCAATAAGTTTATCGTGCAATATGAGCTAAAAATTTGCAAGTATATTAAAGTGCCTAGACTATTCTTGCATAGACATTTTGAGTGCAGCTATACGTTACTACTTTTTTGCTTGAAGGTGTCAGTAATTATTAGGAGGACTAGAGGACAAGGCCTAATCCTCTAGGTCAAAAAATTCAGACTCACAAATGGAGTTTAGATATCAGACTGGGTTAACATGTAAACAGGCTTCAACAAGTCCCCCTTCTGCTCACTTACAGGGGGATTACTAATAAAAAAAAGTCTCTACTTAAAGATAAAAACCTCAAAAACAGAACGAGATCCTGTACGGCACATGAGAATACACCAACAGTTCTCAAAAATTGAACAACTCCCAGAGAAAACATGAAGAGGTCAAGGGAAGTAAAATTTCAACGTACCGTGCCGCTGTGGGCCGTGTGAGCATGAACACTGCTGGTCTGAGAGACACTGAGCTGGACCCATGGAAAGAGAAGAGCACTGGGGTGTTCATAAAGGTTGTGATTGGGCGTCAAGAAAGATCTAACCAGAAGAGGGCGATCAAGTGCAAAATCGCTAATCACAACTCCTTCAGATCCAAACTCTCAAAATATGTTTGAAGGACTTTGGTGGTTTGGTGGTCAGTTTAAAACGAAGAAATGGATATTATCGCTGTTGCATAGCTCAGTGGAATGTCCATGGTCAGTGCCCAAAATAAATGCATCCCAGTCAGAATAGACAAATGCCTTGGTTATCTAAAGGCATTCATCTCCTTTTTGAACAACAGTTAAAAGTGTCTGGCTAAGATGATTTTTAAAAAATGTAAATAACCTTTTATGTAAATAACGTTATCCGAGAAGAATGAACTTGGAACATCCCGTGGTTCCTATCATTAGCATAAGGCTAAGAGATTGGCAGTGATATAAGTGCTGGGGCAGAGCCTCTGTTAAACAGGGGCAGGAGATTGTTGCTTATCCAGGAAGCAAGGCAATAAGTTTATCGTGCAATATGAGCTAAAAATTTGCAAGTATATTAAAGTGCCTAGACTATTCTTGCATAGACATTTTGAGTGCAGCTATACGTTACTACTTTTTTGCTTGAGGGAGTCAGTAATTATTAGGAGGACTAGAGGACAAGGCCTAATCCTCTAGGTCAAAAAATTCAGACTCACAAATGGAGTTTAGATATCAGACTGGGTTAACATGTAAACAGGCTTCAACAAGTCCCCCTTCTGCTCACTTACAGGGGGATTACTAATAAAAAAAAGTCTACTTAAAGATAAAAACCTCAAAAACAGAACGAGATCCTGTACGGCACATGAGAATACACCAACAGTTCTCAAAAATTGAACAACTCCCAGAGAAAACATGAAGAGGTCAAGGGAAGTAGTCTCCGACAGGACAGGAGGGTGCGTTCAATAACAAGGTGATGTCCGAACAAATGTATGTGAGGGGAGAACAGATACAACTAAGAAATGTGACGTCTGAGCGAGAAAACATAAAACTTCTGTTTCTTCTGCTGTGATGGCTGAGTCTCAGAGGAGCTTCTGGAGAGCATCTCCTCACGCACAGCATCAGACAAGGAAAACACTCAAGAACTGATGGAAAACAGGTCTTTGCTATTCCAAAAAGGAGTGCGAGGAGTCCTCTGCTGCTCACAGCTCTGATTTCTCTGTAAGAGGCTGTATTTCAGAGGGATCATCCTGAGGGAAGACCACATAACACAACTTCTGCCCCAGATAGGTGACTCTCTCTGAAAAACACGTAAATTTACAGATGTCAGATGGTTTTTCATTGCAGAGTGCTAACAAAACAATGCAAAGCAGTTTTGGTTGGTCTTACTCACCCACAGCACTGGAAATACAGTGTGGTTTGTTCTTCCACTGCACTCCAATGAAGTAGATGGGGACTCCAGTGAGCATGATCACCAGCCCCATACCACACACCACTGGCTCTGAGTACAGACTGAAGCCCAGTAACACTGCCCAGAACACTAGATAGCTGCAAGGGACCAACAAGTTTACCTGCGCGAAGTTAGAGAAGAAGAGGGAGGTGAATACCACCTGAACACTGACCAGTCAATCTAAATCAATCTTCCTGATGAGGTCTTTAGGTGGCGATTGAAGTACCTTGATGGGTCGGACCAGTTTGGGTTTCTTCCATCTGTAGTACAGCAGCCCAGCTATAGTGACTCCATATGAGAGGTAGTTTATAAATGACACATAGTTTATCAGGTTATGTGTGTCCCCGATGCACAGGATCAATATGGTCGCTGTACACTATGGAGAACAAGAGAGAAGGGCGTGTTGTATGCTTCAGTTCTCAAAAAAAAAAAAAAAAAAAAAAATATATATATATATATATATATATATATATATATATATATATATATATATATACTTCCAAAAGTACTTTTAAATCCTACTCTCACCATAAACGATGTTTTGGGACATATTTTAATCTCTCTTTAAATCTAATCAATCTTTAATCGATCTTTAAAAGTGCTTGATCAGAGTCATTGAATGTTGATGTAAAGCAAATCTGTTAAGCATAAACAGGCTTTTCCCAAATGTTTCAACTGGACAGTTATTTCCTTGTAAAAGAGGCACATAACTAGCTATGTTTAAACCTTGTTTTACTACTGTGGTTGACTGACAGGTGAGTAGGCGGTCCTTTACTGTTGTCCGGAACACAACAGGACAGATTAGCTAGTGTTTATACAACAAATTCAATACAATCACATGAATTTTCTATTACCTCTAAATGTGGTTTGTGTGATCTGTACACAAAACATTCTGGACCCCATTTACACCTGAATCAGATCAACCAAATCATGCAGACTGAAAGCAGTGTTGTGTTGCATGTGCTGTGTGTGCGAATAGCTCTTTCTCTCTCACACAAACGAGTAGGGCAGGGATTGGTGTGCAGCTCTTAAGGTGGATCATAGCCAGCAGGTAGGGCAGGTGACCCTCTCTGGCGCCTGAGAAACACAACCTGTGGGGGATGGACAATGAAGCCAGTTTTAGTTTGAAGTTTTAAGGGTTGCTGTATTAGGCCAGTTTATACTCAAATGTTTCTTTACCTAGAAGATGTAAACAAGTATCCGTTGATCCCTCCAAAGGTGGAAAGAGCCACAGAGATGGGCATCACCCAGGAGAACACTCCTAGCAGCTTCTCTCCAAATGTCTGCAACACAACACACAAAAAACAGATGCTAATTTATCAAAGCACCTAATAGATTATACGTTGTTTTAGCAGAATAAGCCAGAAGAGATCAGAGAAACTCACCACAGCGACAGCGTTCGACTCCAGCAGCTCTTGAGGGGACATGGAGGAGAAGTACGCAATGTTGGTGAGAGTATAGACGAGCGTCACAAGGGGGATGGAGATGTAGATTGCACGTGGAAGGTTCCTAGAATAGAAACCACACCATAAAATATATGCTGTAAGAGTTACCTAAGGTATTGTATTTTAAGTTGCATTTGTTATGTAAATACTATAATGCATACTTTTAGTTCAAGAGAAGGTGCCTTGGCAGTACCAACATGTTTGATATGAAACAGTATTATTTTACTATCATTTTTATATTATATCAATTTATAAGCAATTTTACTTCAACTTATTTCAGTTAGTATCTAAGGCTCTTAAGTTCTAATTTTAGTAGTTTTAGTTACCAATAACAACACTGTATAGTAGATGTAAAATAACAGATTTTCATTTAAGTACATTCCTGTAGCAGAATAAATATACGTAAAATGTGTAGACAAAAAGTGGGGCAGAACTATTTATAGTGGGGCAAAACTGAACTGAAGTTTAAAATCAGTGAAAATCAAGTAGGTAAAAATTAACAATTAATTTACATAGGTCCTACATATATACACTAATAACTAATAAACTATTAAATATAAGTAATGAATATGTACACATACCTCTTAGAGAGCAGATTGGTTAATGTCCAGATTAATTGGCAACATTTTTGCTCAGAGTTTTTGCATCTTTTTGTTGACTGTCTTTTAATTCGTTGGCCAGATTATTCTTGAGAAAACATGACTAGTCTTTGGCAACAGAAGCTCTGTTTCTGCCATCCAAACGTGCTTGAAACACAGAAAGCATCTAAAATGGCCACGAAGTCATCCTTTCTGTGACCTATTTTGTGCATTTCCGACAACTTGAGCACTTTTGAGGCTGGTTTGGAATCTGTGAACAATACGGTACTTGAAGCTAAGCGACATGAATGTATTATGCAGATTACAATAATTTTTTGTTTCACTAGTGGCTGCTTTTATTTATACGGTTGCTGTATTTATTGTCACTTGGTGATTGAAGGTATTTGTCAGTTATTTGCAATTTGGTGATTGAAAGCTTCTTTTACATAGGCTTACGGTCACTGTGGTTTGTGTGTTAAACAAGGTCCATGCATGCGTTCCTGTTTGTGCACTATGCTGTGCAGCAAATGTATTTACTCTGTAGTATCCATACTAAAACACGTACATCTCCTCGCCAGGCCCCCCAGGCACATTGGGGCCCCAGGCGTCTGCCTCTATTGCCTGTTAGATGGGCCGGCCATGATTGTGACATAGACTTTAAAAGACTTACTTGCGAGGCTCAACCACCTCTTCAGTGACGTAGTTCAGGAAGTTCCATCCACTGTAGGCAAATGAGGCCTGCAGGAAGGCCAGAGCAATCTGCCCCACTGATGGATCCTTTATGAACTCAAACGCTGTCTGGGGATCCAATGCATCATAGTGTCCTAGAGAGAAAATACAGAAAATATGCTTATGACCTCAGGGTTGTACCTGTAGCATAAAACGCTGTATATTTCAGATGCTCTTGGGAATAATCTGTTCATATTCATCTTGACACTCAAGTGTCAACAATTTAATTTCATTATTCCACTAGATACTCAAAGCCTCCAAAAAGCCTTTCTCTCTCCTGTCACTCAAGTGTGAAACTGCACTGCTTAGCTCTCTCGTTTACTCAATTCTTTCTCTTGTCAGTTCAGGGAATGCCTCCAGACAAGCTCGCTAAATAAAAAGTAAAATCTTCCCATAATAGGTCATAGCCATTACCTGCAAATCTAGACCCAGGACAGTACACAACAGAGCATGACAAAGCACCACTGCTTTATTGTAACAGCACTCAGTTCTTTAAAAAGTCACACAAAGTTCACATCGTTAAAACTATTCTGCAAATTGTGGCTAAAATTGCCATTTTGCTACAGTCTTAGCTTAGTTTGTTTGTGAACTGCCTAAAGTAAATGAGTCAGCTTTATAATGTATTGCAACACTATCAAAACATCTTAATAAGCTAACAGTTTCTGATTCAATTAACTAAAGTTCATTCTGATGACTGTAAGTTTGAACCAATTAGATAATGCAAAATAAAGGTTTTAATAGTGAGTTTTCTAAAGGCTGGAATGCAATACACAACTTTTGCGGTTTGGAACGACTTGAAATTCTGGTAGTTGTGTAGTGCATGGTGTCCAGTTTTTCTCTGTAGTAAGGTGATACGTTCTGCACAGGATTTGTAAATTGCCTAAAATAACCAGGTGTTGACTGTTTGCACTGCGTCGATCGATCATTGTATGACATCAAACCGCAAGAGCTAGAGAGAAGAGCAGACATTACTTTGATGTCATACAACGATCAATCGGCACAGCGAAAACAACCAACACCTGGTTATTTTAGGCAATTTACAAATCCTGTGCAGAATGTGTCCCTGGGAAGTGGCACGTCTGGTCACCTTACTCTGTAGCCATTTCCAAAGTCGGCAAGTGTATGATGTCTGATATCGGCAAGTGTTTTAAAATCTGTTTAGATTTTAAAAGTTGTGTAGTGCAGCCCTAAAGGTCATTGGTTCAAGTTTTAGATGGGGTGATTTTATTTGTGCCTGTATAACTGCAGGGAGTAAATCACTTTGAACAAGTAAGTATCAGGGGTGCGATTCCCTGAAAGCAACTATGGTCGCAAGTTCCATCTTCACCAGTAGAGTTCAATGGAATTAACAGCCATAGTTAGATAACGATGCTTTTAAGCAATGCACCCCTGTTTCATAACACATAATACAAGATCTACCACTAGATGTCACTATTGAAAAAAATTGGAGTTAAAGGAATGGTTTTCCCCAAAACCTGCAGAAGAATAAACAACATCAGGGAGAGTTAATAATGACAGAATTTTTATTTATTCATGAGACGTTAGCATATTCCAAGAGGGTTTAAGCTTTAGAAGAGATGGGTTTAGATGGGTTTCTCTCTTTTTCAAAATAGCCTATTATTTGTTTGTTTACTGGATTATTTCAGTGGACTGTGCCCACTCAAGGTGAATCTTTTGCTTTGTATTCATTAGATAACAGGCAACTGGTCTGTTTAGGCTGACAGCAGCTGGCTTTAATGTTGGGAGTGTTTGATGATTCATGGCATTCAACTGTGGGAATTATTCACAGATGTGAGTTTATCAAACTCTTCTCCTTTCTCTACTTTGCCTATTGCTTATTTTTCAATTTTCATTGCTTTTATCTCTTAACTTCACTGTCTGCTTCTGTGGGTTACATACTTAGCAATATCATTGGGAATATATAAAGGTTTTTTTCATCATATTTTGGACTGAATGCATCTGTACATATGCACACTTTGTTCAGGAAACACATTACATTGCTTATCGGTGCTACAGTTTGGCCTATCAACTGAAAGGGAAGAGAAAATTAATACAGTATAGAATTATGATACAGTTAATGTTTAATAATTAATGTCACTGCACATTTATATAATTTAAGATGCTTACATACTGCATCGATTTTAATGTTAGACAGCACAGACTTAGTTTTTTCAGATAGAGTAGCATGTTTCATTTAAGACAACGGCTGGCAAGAACACAAGTGTAAAGTGTAATTGACACACCTTTGGCAATCTGGATCATTCCCACTATAATGATGAGGACAAGTGCTAGCAGTTTCCCCACAGTGAAAATATCCTGGATCCGTGTCCCCCAGCGCACACTGGAGCAGTTCACCCAAGTCAGGAACACTGTAAACACACACAGTGAACACAGTTATTCATTCACATATTCCAAACTCACAGGTTTACATTTTTTTTTAGATGTTTTAACAAAACTCTTAAGTGTCATGGGGACAAATCAGGTTGTGACACAGCAATGGAAGCAGTGTGATTTTGTTGGCAGAGCAGCACTAACTGGTCACATGGTCCATTTTTATTAGTTTAAAGAGGGGAAATAAAGATCAGATGTAACTTATTTTACTGCTGCAGGCAAAACACTAACCCATTCATGGCTAAGTGGTTCTCAACTAATGGCTGGGGCCCACTCAGCAAACTTCCAAGGGAACCTCAAGATAATTGAATAATTTAAAATAAGACAAAGTACACATTGAAATCAGCTAAAACAACTAAAAATCTTATTTTATTTCAACTTCTCTGCAACTTTATTTTTGTCTTGGAATATCTTATAGTGTGATTTATAGACCTGAAAACAAAAATAAAAAATCAGCTTACTAAAATCTTAAAACTCTGTGGGCAGTTTTTATAATAAACATAAACTCAGAAATAAACAAATGTCCCTTTTCATGGTAGTTCAATGAACCATACACAATTATTGCACATGCACCTTTGAAGCATTACTAAAGACACTTATTGTTTACAGGCAATAGGCAATGAAGGTCAGTTATATTCACTTAGGACATTAAAAAGACCTATCTACTGACTCTGAAAAACACCAGAAGAAAGATGTTTCAGATCACCTGTGTGAACATGCCATAGACCTGCTGCAGGGAGGCATGAGGACTGCAGATGTAGCCAGAGCAATAAACTGCAATGTCTGTAATGTACAATGCATAAGACAGGAAGATCAGCTAATCGTCTTTGCAGTGGAAAACCATGTGTATCCAAATGGCTTGTTGGAAGAGTGGGTAACATCTCACAGCAAGAACTGGCAAATCTGGTGCAGTCCATGAGGATGCGATACACTGTAGTAGTTAAAGCAGCTAGTGGCCACACCAGATACTCACTGCCAATTTTGACTCGTTAAGCCATTTCTGTTTATCAAATGCTTGCGAGACTTTAATTCAGTTTACGTCTCAGTTGTTGAACTCTTTTTTTACACATGTTAAGAAATTTGACACTAATGACTTGAAAAATAATGCAAATTCATTGGTTAAAAAGAATGGGAGCCTTGAAAAACATGCAGCTTTTAAAACTTTAGGAATCCTGAAATGCAATTTACAGAAACTAGAAGTGTCAGGTCTTCAAATATTGTTGTAAACAATGGAGGGCCTTGGAGTCAAAAGGCTGACAGCTACTTCTCTAACCGAAGTCAATTTTAGTGCAGAGGTATAATAGATACCTCATATCACTCTACTTGGATACCTGTAAGGTAACCATAAATTGATACGATTGATTTGAGACTACACTATACATTCACGGACGGAAGTACAGGCGTTAGAGGCCATTGCTTGTCTGTACATCTGTGTTTGAGGTTAGTGGCTTCTGTGTTGAGCCGTATTGTGTAATAGCTCCGGTGTAGATCCGGTACATAGAGGTCCGTCTCCAGGGCTTGATGACACAGTATACCCAGGCATGCCGAGGGAGACACTGGGCAAAGGGGAGACGGGTTACCCACACTCATCCATCAATGGCCGGAATTACCCGCCCACACACGCAAACACATGCGGGGCATCTGTCAGACCCCCCTAGACAAACAGCTTCCGATGCCCCACAACAAAACGGCCCAGACGCCAGCTGAATTTTTGGCAAGAGTAGGCAGTCGACAAGAGCGACTCATGGCCTGCAAACTAACAGCTAACCTGCACAACTTCATCAGCTCGTGTGATCCTGAGCTCAATACACACCACCTGTCAACCTTCATGCCCAGACAGCATTCAGTGAATCTTATTTCTTGAAGATAGTACCGCAGTCCTTAACTAAGATAAAAATACAACTCAGGTAAAAACAAACAATAAACCTACACACCTGCATCCGGAGTGCATCCAAATGTATTTTTCATATTTTTTCAGAAAAAAAATGTATTCATATGTTGATTGTATTACAATGGTTCTTTCTTGGTTCAATGTGATTAAAGCAATATGCCTCAAGAGTCACTGTGATTTTTTCCACAGGTTTAGGTGTTCTTAGGCACCTTAAAATGACAGAAATAGCAGTATGATCAAAGCCACAATGTTCAAGTCATAGTTACATTTATTAGTAATAATAATCTGAATTGCCAATTTGGCCAGTTTACGGTAGCCAGGCAACATAGCAACTTATATAAGAGATAGTTCACCCAAGAATATTGTTCTCATGTTGTTCTAAACTTGTATGACTTTTTGTATGCACGTATACTTAATAATAATAATGTGGTGACAGGTGTTATCCATTTTATACGATAGGTTTCAGAGCACTACAGTGTTTGCCATGAGTTTTGTTTCCTCTTGTTTGGCTTTAACGGATCTGAATCCAACTCCTTCTTGTTTTGTATCACAGTGCAGAAGTGACTAAGGGTGGCCAAATGAAGTTAAATGAACACAAAGCTAATGAGAGGAGAATTTTAATGAAGTGCTAACAGCCTTTAAATCTGCCAAAATACAACCACTCACTTCAAACCCCAGAGAGGGGCATCCCTCTGCAGCTAATTGACAGATAAAGCCAACAAAAGATGCACTAAATACACAAAAATGTGCAAAACACTACAACCCTCTGTGGCCAAAGCCTGAAATAAGTGTTTTTCATGTTTACTCAAATGTTGAAATTGGCAGGCTTTTTAAACAGTTTTATAAAAAATAAAAAAAAACATTTATTAAAAAAAATTAAGTGACCAGTATATGTGGGAACTTTTTAAAAATGCTTGAAAAAGCATTGTTTTATTTCATCTATTTGATGGTATTTTGATTTTCTATTGTCTCTTCACTTCTTAGGCAGGATTTATGTATTTATAAATGTTTTTGAAATAATATTGCATACATGAGCAACAAGAGCTGAGTCACATGAACAGATCTTTCAATCTCTGGAGTGTGTGGCCTTTACAGAAGAAGCTTTCCACACACTCATAAACCAATAAAAAGGTAGAAAGCATTAGAACAGTAAACTACCTGTCATTAAAGATACAGTTCTAAAAATGTAATGTGGCACACGTCTTTTTTCCAAGTCAAATGAGAGATTGAGTTGAGTTGAATTATGCAGGTTAATGCAGGTTAGATGCTCTGCAAAGATCTCTGTGTTTGTTTGTGTGTCCAGACCAGCAGGAGCTGTGTGTGTGTGTGTGGGTATCTCTCTGTGTGTAATCTGACTGCAGCAGACAGAGCTTGTGACATTCATTCAGAACATTCAGAAGGGGAGGGCAAATGTAGCACATGGTGCAATATAGACATTCTCACACAGTGCAACTAAGAACACTCACTCGCACATAACTAGGGGTTCATGCAAAGGTTTCCAAATGCATCAGTTTACCATTGAAAATATCCATTGCTGCATCAACACAGACAGCTATAAAAAATGTACACGCTAGGGTTGTGTATTTACAGAGCATGTTCCTGAATTTCAATAATCAATTGTTGTATTTGCCATTGCATTTGACATACAGTATATTTAATCAAATATCTTTAATTTTTTTAGAGAATGGTGAAAGAACACTTAATTTCCCACCGATTCACAAATATTGCTGTCAATATTTATTTTAGATTTTATTATAAAAAATTAACGTAGTTACTTTTGTGTAGTTATAACTTTTGTGTTACTGTTGCAATCCAGTAAATCTCATGTCATTACACAAAACAAATTTGCTGTGGGCATGCCCACTTCAATTCACATTCCAACTGTGAACTGAAAGGGAGACATTATTTTTACAATGCAAGGGGCATTTTTGTGGAAACCGTATGTGAAAAATCGGTGCTAAGTGTATGAAGACCTTAGGTGTTTTCCTGAGGTGTTTGAATGTCTCATCTTATTTCAGGGTATTTACTTGGTCTAAAGGTTAATGGCAGACAGTGGGAGGGTGTGCGTTAGAAATGTGCCCTTCCTAAACATGACCTCACACACTCCAAGCGGCTTATCAAAAGATCATAATTTACTCCTCATTTGTCAGGTTTAACGGCATTTTAGCGGCATTCACAAAGTCCCGCCTCTATGCTCTTGTCCATCAAAGAGCATTGGGGTAACTAGGGCAACCGCAAGGTCCCAAAACAATACACAATACAGAGGAGACGCCCACATGTTCCGCCGGCTCAAAGCCTGGCACCATTACGGAGTCTGACGCCACACAGCCTGAGGGTCAGGTGCCCTAATACCACGACATCGATACCAACCCCACCCGTCTATCCAGACCCAAACAAATGCGTTCCCCGAATATCTGGATAATCGGAAGAGAGCGCAGTGATTTGGGATGCAGGTTTAGCATCCTTTGATAGGGCACATACATGAGGTGTCTTCCTTAAATAGAGCCACTGGCCCTCGTCACTGTGCTCTTTGGAGTATGTCTGACTCAAAGCTTTCGTTGGCTGTTCGTCAGGACAGATTCTGGATTCTGCTGCCAAAAATAGGGATGGATGGCTCAACTCAGCCAGCACTGTCATTAGGACCACTGCCCTCAGTTTGACACACCCCCAGTACTCCTTCCTAGGAGACCCTGTCCAGATCTGACAGGTCCAAACTAGCTGAGTCACGGGGCTCTTCTGAATCAAACACACACACACACACACACACACACACACACACACATAGACATACATTTGACTGGTTTATCTCCACCAGCTCCAAAAATATCCTGCCACGTGCCCACCAGGGTTAAGTACTAGGATCAAGATTGAAGTGGTATATATACACACAAGGGAGTGATTGAAAAAGAGAGAAAGACAGAATGAAGGACAAAGTAGACTCATCATGACTATGTCTAAAAGTCAGAATTCAATTGTGAATGCACTAGGGGTGCACTATACAGTATGTCGACACCATATTAAAGGTTTTTTTAATTCAACAGCATTGATGGATATTGGATATATATAATTGTTAATGCTCATTACCTCTATTTTTACATTAAGATTACCTTTGCTGTCATCAAATACTCACTAAAGAGCCTCTTTAAAAACACTAACAATTTAATAACAATCCCCACAACCCTACAGAGGATAAGCAGTTTGGAAAATGAGTGGATGGATCGATTACACTTAATCTTCAGGAAATCTTCAAGTATAATTTTTTTTCATTTAATACCAGTAATTTGATATTTTTATGTTTTTTTAAATTAATTATCAGACACAATTTTAATAACGGTGCATCCCTAGTATTCACTGCATTTATACGGTATATAGTGATTTGCTATATCTAGAACATTTTAATTAAGCAGTCATCATAAGACAGTAGTACCAAATAAGAGCTGACCTGCTAAAGCAGGAGACTGCATTATTACTAATTGTGTGTGCTTTACTCACAGACACAGGTGGTTGAGAGGAGCCGGGTGGCGATGTATGGAGGCAGACAGTCAGGGAAGGCAGGCTGCAGCACATAGTTGGAGAAGGTGAGCGCAATCACAGCCAGAGTTGTTGGGTACATGATCAACACAGCACTCCACAGCAACAAGAACCTGTGAAAACATAAACAAATGGCCATCTTTATCATCACCAATACAAAACAGTCAGTGTTGCATCTGAGCGAGCAAGTAAAACACATGTGAATCTCCCCAAGGAGAAGTTCCCACAAACTGAGACATCCACATTGATATTTAGGTATTTGACACTTTCTTCCAAAGCAATATTGCATCTGTTCATGCATTTCCTGGGAATCGAAACCAATGACCTTGTCATTGTTAGTGCCATGCTCTGCTGTTTGAGACAGGCTGAATCTTTTAGTGTTTTCAAATCTGCTCTTAAAACTTACTTTTTCAGAATAGCTTTTAAGTGATTTCTTTGTGTCATGTGTATGTTTATTTTGATTATTTTTAAATTTTATTATTCTTATTATTATTGCCATTATTTTTATTTTACCTCTTTTTATTCTGTGTATAGTGCTTTGAGATGTACCTTTTAAAGACGCTATAGAAAATAAAGTTTATTATTATTATTATTATTATACATGAATGCTCTGGAGGGCAACAATAGACCTACCCCACCAGTCCCCCGAAGATCTCAGTGACGTATGAGTAGTCTCCACCTGATTTGGGGATGGTGACACCCAACTCGGCATAGCAAAGAGATCCCAAGGCACAGATCCCTCCTCCTAGAACCCACACGATGAGTGAGAACCCCACACTGCCTGCATGATCTAGAACCCCCTTTGGAGAGATGAAGATCCCCGAGCCAATGATGTTGCCTGACAAAAACAAAAGAATAAGCAATGGGTTGTTTAGTCTTCATATATTGTTCAGTCTAAAATAAAACTACATTACTGGACTGAATTTTGAGCCCTTCGCCTCAGGACATGATTGGTTTCCTGTATCAGAAATAAAAAGACATACAAAATCTTATTGCCATTTTCTCCAATTAGAGCATTTTAAAGAGTTTATTTGCACAAAGTGCATGGGACTATTTAATTGAGATTTGAATGATGCTGCAATCTTGTTGGGGTTTTTTCAGTGCAAGACAATGTGTTCTAAAAGATCTGTTCTTGCAGCTGTCAAAACGCTGCTGCACATTCCAGGCAAACAGACACAAAAAATAAGATCAACAATGTTAGAGTCGACATCAGTTGCGAAATCTGAGATGAGAGTCCAGTATTCAGAAAAAGGTAAATGTTCTGCATAACTGCATATACATCTTAGTCACGCCACCCAGAGCATATGCAGTGCCTGAATGATCATGCCTCAGGAAACTTAAACAAAAGAGTTTCAAGTATATGAGGCTCAGCCACAGCTATGGGCCGAAGCATTATGTAATCCTTTTGGGTTCTCTCTTTGTCTGCGGGTGTTCACATGAAATAGAATTGGGTAGTATTGTGAGTGGATGTGAATGTTTGCTTCCAGCGCCTCAGAAGAACAGCATAGAGAATAAGGCAATGAAGTTGATGAGACAGAGCCCAGCGCATCTCAAAAACACTCAGTCAAATGAGGCTCAAAGCTCCTGAATCAAGTTCATGGGGTCACACTACACCACACTTGACTCTGACTGGTCATGTAACTCACAGCATAACAAAACAATGTCCGCTTGGCTGATTTACAGAAGTATTAACTCCGCCTTGTGCAGTGGTGGAAATAATACTAAGAATTGTACTTAAGTTAAAATATTGCTACTTAAGGAAAAATTTTAACTTGAGTACAAATAAAAAAAGTACTGAAAAATATGACTAAAGTAAGAGTAAACAAGTAGTTTGCTGAAAAACTACTCAAGTTAATGCATTATCTATTTTTACCTAAAACGAGGCGATATGAGCATTATGAAGCATTAAATATTTTCATGCAATCCCTTACGAAACAAAAATATATGGTAATATACTGCAAAATATAATGCGATATATTACACAATACATTTCCATATATTGGAAACTAGTGCTTATATTTTTCAATATACAGCAATATATCCATTGACAATATATGGCTATATATATTGATACATACAAATATATTTATAAATGAAGACAAAAATACTCATTGTTTGATCCTTTATTGAGTATATATTGCACATAGATGTTTCCATATAAATGTGAATGTATGTACACACATATGCACACATTCACTGAATGAGTTACAGCAGATTTCTAGTTCCCAGCATGCTTTGCTTCTGTCTGTTAAAGGAGAGTAAAAATGTTAAAACTAAGTGTTATTTCATGTGTTTTTGCTCAATATTAATATAGGGGGATATCTGTTAGTATTTAATGTTATATTATTTTGAAATGTAAAAGTGTTTCTGGTATGTGTAAGTTTGTGAGGTCACCATTGTGCAGAAGAGTAAAGTCTGTGGACAGGATGACGATTGGCCAAACACCATTAAGTTATATGTGACCCTGGAGCACAAAAGCAGTCTTAAGCCGCTGGGATATATTTGTAGCAATAGCCAAAAAATACACTGTATGGGTCAAGATTATAGATTTTTCTTTTATGCCAAAAATCATTAGGATATTAAGTAAAGATCATGTTCCATGAAGATATTTTGTAAATTTCCTACTGTAAATATATTAAAACTTAATTTTTGATTAGTAATATGCATTGCTAAGAACTTCATTTGGACAACTTTAAAGGCGATTTTCTCAGTATTTTGATTTTTTTGCACCCTCAGATTCCAGATTTTCAAATAGTTGTATCTCGGCCAAATATTGTCCTATCCTAACAAACAATACACCAATGGAAAGCTTATTTATTCAGCTTTCAAAAGATGTATAAATCTCAATTTTGAAAAATTGACCCTTATGACTGGTTTTGTGGTCCATGGTCACATATGTTACTTTATTTAAAAAGCAATGGTAGTGCACTGTTCAGCACAGTGATAGTCTGTTCACTAAGTGTTTAGTATGAGAGGGTGTGCTTATGCTATTGTAAACTAGCTATATTTTAAAATATGAAACATGTATGCCATAAATGATTGTTAAATATAAGAACTATATATTTCCATATATGTGTGTATATACTGCATGAGTAAATATATGTTTCATATATTTTTACACATGCAGTACCATATTTTATCTATATATTATAAAGTATATTACTGAATATAAAATTACGTATATTGTGATATATGAGTAAATATATTGTCACATATTTTTCAATATATGAAAAGCTGCAATTCCTTATATATTATTAAATACATTGTAATATATTTACACAATATATTATTCTGTATAATTTTTAATATACCATTATGATGTTTAATATATTGATCATTCATATATTAGGAAATATATTGTCTTTGCGTAAGGGATGTCCATTTTACAAGAAGAATTGCGATTCCATTTGTGTTTTGTCAGGTTAGAGAGGGAAAACGCAAATGGTAAAGCAAGAATTTAATTTGGATTGTGTCACTATTTATACATCCACATGTGAAAATACAATTTGCAGTTCCTTTTGAAAATAGTCCAGATTATCCTTCCATACGAGTCAGACCTGTCTGTTTTTGCCTGAAGCTCAGGGCTCCACCCCAGTAGTTTGAAAAGTGCCCATCAACAAATGACAGCTTTGACTTTCTACTTTGGTGAAGAATAAAAATAGTGAAGTTGAATACGTTATTTTTATTCAACTCAAGTAAAAGTAAAAGTACAATTCAATTTTACTCAAGAAAGTAGAAAAAACTGAAAGATGTACAAAAGTATTTGAAATTAGTTACTTTCCATCTCTTGCCTTGTGTCAGTTCCAAAATTTACCAACAGTGTTGTCACTGGATATTTAATCATTTTTTGTTATCTTAAAACTTTGTCAAATTTAAGTAAATACTGTCTAAATATAGTGTTCATGTCATTTGCTGTCATTAAATTGCGGTGTATATCATCATGATTTCAGGCCATTTGTTACTCTGCTCTCTAGATATGGGTATTGGCATTGGCTATTGACAAACTAATTTCAGTCAACCACTAATTTAATTAAAGTTTAACTCTAAAGAATTGATAAGGGTAAACGAGGTTTCACTGTGTCCACATTACTTAATGAAGAAAATAAACTACACTGGCAAAAAAAAATGTGTTAAGTAACAGATCAAATTTGTCATTGACCTTGAGTAATATCAGGAGGACATTCTAGAACAGAGAAACTTTCCCATGGTCAGCCTTACCCGTAAAGCCACTAAACCATAAACATAACTGAGATCTACAGCTGCACCTGCATGTTGATGTTCCACAGGGAAACCAACCTCAAAAAAGGAACCACTTTCACCTGATCGTACTACAGTAAGAGCAAGGCCATAATCAAACAGTTAACATTATATCTTAATCTTAACCTTAATCCCCTTAATCTTGTTTATATATCTCTATAAAAAGTAAAACCTCGTGTGAACTGTACCTTTTATCCTGGGCAACAATGGTGGGAACCTACATTAGCTTTTTTTTCTATCTAATTCTTTAAAGTACGTTCCTATATTGAAACTGACTTAAAAAAATAAAAATATGCACAAAAATATTTGCTGGAGTAAAAAGTGTGACTACTAATCTCCTTGATACTATAGGGCTGATATAAGGCTTCAGGAAGAACAGCCAAATATCACTGTTATGAGAGACACAACACATTACAAATTAAATGAACAAAATACAAAGGCATAGTGTCAATCTTGATGTCACGCCACCCAGAGCATATGACCTTCATCTGAACAACAAAATATCTCGTGCTGTTTTATTGAAGATCATCAGCTCACATTTCAATGAATAGTTTACATTAAAACACTGTAAAATGTATTGTATACATTGAATATACATACACACTGAGGATTATTCATTGGATGGATGTGCCTAGCACACTAATATAAGGTTATGAATTAATGCATATTCATATTTATTTTGAACTACAGTAACATCTGATTTCTCTCAACATAGGGACAGGAGAGCCGTCAATCAATAAATTGAACAAAAAAAAGTAACTTGAGTTACTTATTTGAAAAAGTAACTCAGATATTCTCTTGTAAATGAAAAGGTAATGCGTTACTTTACTAGTTACTTGAAAAAAGTAATCTGATTACGTAACTTGCGTTACTTGTAATATATTACCCCCAACACTGTATATATATAAAAGGTTAATATAAGGATAAAAAGGTTGTCTAAAGTTTCTTTACTTGTGTTTAATTTTGAGGATGCTATATACGGTAGCCTACATAAGCAAATCTGAATCTGAATTGTCACTCATTTAATCTTATACCATGATTTACTGACTACAGAGAACATTTACATCTTGCAGTGTGTGTAATCCTACAGATAGATGACATCCATAACACGAGACATTTGTGTCTGCAGTACGATTTTGCTTAGTCTGCACGAAAGTCTACACTTCCGCCTACATTAATTCTATATTTTCCACTGCAGTGTATATAGCAATGGAGTCTTATATGGTGGGTTTGTTCAGGGCACGTGAAGGACACAGTGTAGTGGGTTGTAGCCACGTAAGCGCGGAGTTGAGTTTCAGCCCGTTTCTCTTCCTCAATGATGCAATCCGCGCTCTGATGAACAGTCTGATGGAGACTACTGTAAGTAGAGGCATGGCACGAGACGCTCTTCTCTACGGAAACCAAGCAATGCTTGGACTGTTGTCTTAAAGTAAGACAGCCGTACAGTGTGACTATATAAGTTTTGAGACCTTCACCACAAACGCTCGACATTTAGAGCGAAGCGCATTTCTGATAGCAGATGTGGAATGTTATCATTAAAGATTAGGAATATGAAAGAGTGAGGGCTGAAGATATATAGCAGAAAGAGAAACAGAGAGTGATAAAATGACAGACAAAGCAACATGCCCAGAGAAAGTTGAAGCTGGTTAGAGCGCACGCGGTGGCATATTAAAAATAAGGAAACATCTCACCTATAATTATGGCGCACGCGCTCAAAAGACCAATTTCTTTTTTGAGAGTCACTCTGTCCTTAGATCCACTTTGGTTTCCTCCGGAGTCTAACATCTTCTGTTGCTCCGTTTTCGCGCAGTTTCTCCGGTTCGCTTCGGTTCCATCCATTTGTGCGGCTGTTCAAGAAAAACTGCATCTGTATCGGCGCCCGGTCTCATATAGCGAGGTGATGCAGGACGCACGGCGCTCACGCATGCGCAGAACTCCTGCTGCCTGCCTCCATACTATACAGATCAACAGGTTGTGCTGTGCGCTGGCACGTGCTCACCTGCATCACACGCGAACAAAGAGCTAGACACCTGTGTGGCATTGCAGCACCTCAGTATCACAGCATTGAGTGTCCAGCAGAGGCGGACAGTATCTCAGTACACTTTTTGAGTATCTGTACTTTACTTGAGTATTATTTTTTCTGGGAACTTATGACTTTAACTTCACTACATTTGAAAGACAAATATTGTACTTTTCACTCCACTACATTTCTATCAAGGTCCTCGAAGTAGAAAGTCGTTACTATGTAGCAGCTTTGAAAGTCAGTGGGTGATTTTTTTCTTCTCTAAAACGTGACTTTCTTTTTTTCAGACTGATTATCAGTAATCACTACATGAAGTGATTTCCCAGCATTTTTTGAACACTGACCAGTTGCAAATGCAACAATTCAATAATAAGAAGTTAATATTGTGGTATACATTACACACAATATTGTCTGATTTTGCTCAACTGTGTACAAGAAAATATTACCTATAAAGCCACAGAAGAACTGTTGTGCGTCTCCTAATAAAACACTGTTCTTGCTATTCGATCCTGTGGCATGACTTCAGTACAGGTATACCTTTATGCCTTTAGTTGGCAGTGCCACCCACTCTTTCCGCTCTGTGGGGAGTTGATGTGGTTTTATGGGTGTTAGGAGTGATCTCAAATGCCTTTACATTGTTTCAATATATGTACTCATGTGTGTTCATGGATTTATGTTGAAGTGGTGTGATATGACGGTATGGACTTTCAGTCTGACTCTGTTTTCCATTGCTGTACAAATTAAATAAAAGTGTGCATAAACATCATTGTGAACGGTCTTGAGACAGTTGAGAGCATGAAATCAAAGTGCTCAAAAAGATCAAGCACTGGTTTAATTGTTTTGGATTAAGATATGTTTAACTTGAAAATGGTGCAGGAATAATTCAAAAATTGCATTGGGTCAATATATTATGAAAGTCTGGTTACCTTTAATTACATTTAGAGGTTTGGACACACTAACCTGAATGTATGTTTTTTATGATCTGAAATATATATTTTTAAAGGTTTAAATGTTTAAAATGATTCTGTATGGATTTTATATAAATGTGTACTTTAAAGAGACAAAAATATAGGTTTATCTGGGTATTTTTGTCACTACACTACGTGTATTGTTTTTTTCTAAAATAATATAATAAAAAAAAAACGTTTGACTGGTAGTGTATATTCATCATATTTTTCCTCAGCCATTGATTTTAATGACTAGGTTCTCCATTCTGTCACCGATGGAGTTTTGGTTCCTTGCCGCTGTCGCCTCTGGCTTGCTTAGTTGGGGGCACTTCATTTCCAGCGTTATCGTTGACATGATTGCAAAGATATTATTTAATATTAGCTGGATGTTGACATCACTGAATTCAATGATGAACTGTCTTTAACTGAAAAATGAGTGTTTACTATTGTCATTTTGCATTATTGACACTATTTTCCTAATTAATGCTGTTCAGTTGCTTTGACACAATCTGTATTGTTAAAAGCGGTATATAAATAAAGGTGACTTGACTTGACTTGAATATGAAGAAATTTATTAAACAGAGACTAAAATATTTAAAAATTTGCATACACAATGTGTTGAACAGTGAAATTCTGTGAAAATAACCTTCTTTGCACTCATATTCTGTGTGGGCCTTTTAATGACTCACTCCATCTCTCCTCCTCTTATTCTCTTTACTGAACGTAAGTGATCTCTCTAGAGCAGGAAGTGTAAATTCATCTTCATTTTCGAAAAAAAAAAGAAGAAATATTAGTCATCATTAAACAAACTCTCTTCACTTCTCTAGACCTGATTTGATACATTCATGCCTTTTCTTTGTGAGTGAGTGGAAAACAAAAGAAATCCCGAAAGATCCTGTTCATTGTGGATGTGGCCCTCTTCTGACTGAGTGTGTGTAAGGTGATTCTGACTCTTATGGGGTACAATGACACCTGAACAACAAATTATTCTCTTTAGACTGATCAGCTTGTACACGTTGAGATCTTTTGTAAAATGAATGTCTTAATGATCTCTTATTAATTAGTCATTTGTTATACAAATAGTATAAAAATTTAATTATTTCAGCCCTCTAAGTAAATAAATTAGATAGATTAAATAAAGATGAAAATAGAGTGTCAAACATGGAGTAAAATCAATAATTATTTTTTTATAATATATTGATAATGTAATGACAGAAACAATAAAACAATGCAGAGAACTCAGTTACTCAAATGATAATGTACAGTACATTCTGTGCTGCTTGTTCGCTGAACTGAATTTGCTGAATTCCACAAAATGAGTGAAGACTAAGAGTAGTTTTAAAAAAAAACAGGAAATTAAGAGGGTTTTATAAGCCTTTTAATTAAACCTATAGAGCTTATAGTAATTAAAATATTTTCCAATAATTAAATACAATTTAAAAAACATATTACTTCATATACATTTTAACGACTCTATAGTAGAGACTGTAAAAAAATCAGAATATCACCAGTAGAGCAATCGTTTGGACATACAGAGTGGAAACATTTATTCAACCGTCATGGAAAAATTTAGCAGGCGTCTAAACTGAATAGCTCTATCTCCAGATATGGTTCACGATTTGAGCCAACTGATGGGAAAAAAAGCAGAATGCATTTTTCCCTCTTGGCTTTTCCATCCTCTTGGCAGTTTTAAGTGAATATACAGGGGCTGTTTAATGGTTGAGACACTTCCTGAACTCTAATAGTCTAGATTGCCAGTACAGAATGCATCTGTGCTTGGGAGACTGGTGGACCCAACGATTCTGTCATCAATCACTTTGTCTAATGTTCAATGTAGCTGGTGTGGTCTTTCACACACAAACACTCTCACCCATACATGCTCACTTCCATACACACGGACACACATGCACACACACATTAATTATACAATCACAACTTTCTATGCCAACCCCCTTCATCCCCCATTCTCACAAACACACCAGATTATTATCACTATTTTTAACAGACCAAATAGGAATCCTTGAAATTTTACTCCGATCTCTTCACTGCCTCGAACGGTCTGCCATTATGGATCACAAAACATAATTTGTCCAGTGAGCAACAAAAGTTCTTGGGGTGAGGTCTATGGCAGCATAGCAACTAAACTCTGCACCAGTCATGAGCGCTTCTCTGTTTCCACTGATCTGAGGTCAGTTTAACATGACATTTCTCACTCTCAGCCCATTCAGAGCAGGAAAGGCACTGCCTCACACTCAGCTTTGTGCCTAACCGAATAGAGGAGAGAAATGAGCGGAAACCTGTTGTTGTAAAAGTCATTCAGGCTCAGAGGAGGAACTCCTCTCTCTAAAAGCAGTTCGGCCTCCTTTACAATAAGTTGACAGATAGTCACTCTCACTCACAAACACTTTCTGACTGATTATTTTTGGGTAAAAATGGTCATATTTGCTCATGTTTTGTTTTAAAAAAACGTTTTACTGACTTTTTACTGTACATTAACATTTAAGTATTTTTATTATTATTTTACTGGGGAGGCATGCCTGATTAATGTTATTTTAATGGGAAATGTTCATTTGAATTCTTGAGTGCTGGTTCCTGTGATTCTGGAGTCTTTTGTACACTTTTTGCTCCATCTAGTGGTGTACTTTATTAGAATGGAAAGAACTGCACATCTGACTGTCAGCAGGCCTGGAGCTGAACTTAGTGGAATGTTCCATGTGATACACACACACACACACACACAAAGTCACATACAGAGTCTAAAGTAACAAAAAACTTCTTCCAGGCTGACATTGCCAGCAGCCATGTAATGTAGAGAATGTAAGCCTATGAAGATCATGGTGAAGTCCGTGATAACTAAGGCCATTTCAGTCATTAACCAGTCATGGCTATCCCATTTATCACTATTTTGATAGAGTGATTTTACTGTAAGAAAAATATGAACAACAACATTTCAAATTAAGCTGCAGAATCTAGTAGTTTATGTTTCTTCAGTGTTTTATTAAACATTCTTTTATCAAATTGTATTGCTTTATGGTTATATAAAATGCACACAAAAAAGTGTGTTGACAGGAAGTGTATTTTACTAATGTGGTTTCCTGAGCAGCAAAGTGCTCTGTAAAGGAAACCTGAGCTCTGTGGTGAAATATCTTTTTCAGGGCATACCAACATATCGAAATGGCCAAAACTGTTTGTCAATGTTACATTTAATCAAAACAATGGTATCATAAATTGTTAAGCTCATATACAGGGGTTTTCCTGTGTTGAAAATACAGTATTTTGGTGGCTGCATTGGTTTAAGAGTGTGGGGTGGTTAAGTGTTTGCTTCTTGTAAGATGTGATGGTCTCAGCGGTTTGGGTGGCGGCTGCCAGCTCATTACACCAGAGGGAAACAGAGAGGGTAAAAGTTTGGGAGAGTATATATCTGCACAATCATGGGATAGAGAATAGAAAATAAATTTAATCAAAGAGTATTATGCAAAATAATTAATGTCGTGTTGAATTCATTCATCACAGGAATAATGATAGATGCAAAAAAACCCCCCCAAAAAACGTTGCTTTCTCCTTCCTATACCCCCCCTGTACTAATCTGAACAATGCCTGAAACTTTGTATTACTAGCACTTCCTGTGTTCATTTGCCTCTTTATGATAAATTGCTTGTTGTAGTTCTTAATTTTAAGTCGCTTTGGATAAAACAGTCTGCTAAATGAATAAATGTAAATGCAATACACCCATGCAATTGCTTTTCATTGTGGTATCATGGAAATCATGCCACAATGAAAATAAATTTCATTACTTAACCATCTATATAAGTATTTCTTATCTATATAAGTGATCTTATCTATTACTTACTTAGGCTATATCTTATATACACTTTTGTCATGTAATCTGTTCAAATACATTG